TTAGAGATTTGAAGAGAGGAACTGAAAGTGAGGGATAAGAGGGCCACTGGGATGAAGAGATGAGGGGGGAGGGAGACGGGCTTCAGGCGACTGACACGTTTACTCTCCTCCGATAAAGAAACTACCTCATAAGATATTCAAACAGTGCTTGAATTCAGTCACTGAGGTGGCTACTAGGGCTTCACTTGGCAGTTTATTCCAGTCATTCACGACTCGAACCGGAAAGGATGTGGCCCTCAGTCGTCAATTTACCCGATCCTTTGCCAGTTTCAGTGCATGCCGCCGGAGTGAGGTGCGTTCACTTAGCTTTAGAAGCCTCTCTAATATCTCTAGGGATCTTAAACGCCTCAATGAGGTCACCTCGCCGCCTCCGTCTCTCCGATGAGAAGAGGTAAAACACCTCCAATCTCCTCTCACGCGAGAGTTTTATTATCCCTCCAAACCACCTTGTGAAGCCCTGTAGCGCTTCGGCATGTCTGACCAAGAACGGGCTCCANCCTCCGGCTTTCGGGACCCTACTGCACGTCGGAGTTGATACAGGGCTTCAAATTCTTTCTTCACAGCATCCCGACACCGCTAAGTGGAAAGGAAGTCTGAATTCATATTCACTCCTAAGTCTCGTGTACAGAGCACTGGGGCAATTTCGACCTGCTCTCCAGGTGGTCCTATAAATTTCCTACCGTGGTGCCCTTCCCTCCAGTGAGGGGTTCAGGTTCTTTCTTTAACTTCGGCACTGGATTGTGTCCCTGAATAATGGGTGCTCTAGGCTCATGCAGGCCCTTGACCTCTGGTATTATCTTTTATTCTCTTTGCTTCGCCGTAGAGGTTGAGACTGGGTATTGACAACGCTGTAGTGGGGCTTGTAGAAAACAACGAAGTCTTTTTGTGGGTCTATGAACTGGACTTGAAGGGTTGACCTGTGCACTCAAAGCCGTTATATTTTCTTCCAGTACGGTGATTTTTTCTTCCTCTATTTGCTCCGCTGCGGATAGTAGCTTTTCAAACATTTCTCTCGTGTTTCA